CAAGTTTAGCTTTCTCTGGTGTGCATGATCTGTTGTTGGCAGGGGAAGAAGGGGCTGCATTACTGACATATGCTCACACCACAGCTTTTTTTGCCTATCTGAATAAGTGTTCCTTCACTGTGGTATTTATTCTCCTTCATTAATTGCAGTATTAATAGGATGAAAAAACTGTCCCAACTTTTCAGAAAATATTTAATGTTCTTAATCCATAGTGCAAAATTCTGTTACATTTTAACTGTTACTATTCAGTGTTTTGTAATATCCAGCATCTTTTCTGCACACACCTTTACTCGTGCGTGTGCAAATTAATACAAAAAGTGAAGTGAGATAATGGACTGGATGATTTCTTGCTAACACCTCTGAACAAATCACTTACCTTCACCCACAATAGAGAACTAAGCTTTGATTAAATATGGTAACAACCCTTAAGATTCATCGTATTTTTATTAGTCAATATTGATTTTAATTTTGATAACCTTTCTTCCTTGTTTGAAACCCGTGCATTTTCTTATGATTATTGATGTGAACAACAGTCCAAGCAATTTACTGTTTGCCTTTGAAGTATGCCTAGTTTGCTATCTTGAACTAAAACAAAACAAAATAATCAAACTTTAGGTTTTCAGTACACTGATAGGAAGACTTTCTTTCTATTAATGTGTAGCAGACCACTTTATCAGAAGTTGAACTAACCAATCTTGCATTTTTTTTAATAATGGTAAGATACTTAGATTTGAAATAGTTTAGATAGAATAAACTATCTACACTTATGGATAAGTGTAGAGCAGCATGAGCAATAAATTAGTTTTTTTGCCCTGGCAGATTAACACGATGGGGAAAAGAGGTAAAGCAGGTAATGAATCACAATTAGTTTTATCTTCCAAGTTGATCAATAGCAGTTGGGTGGATTTTTTTTTTTAATGTGCCTAAGTATATTATTTTGAAACAGTATGTCGGTATTTTCTGGGCCCTGATTTTATAACATAGTAGTGTTTCTGCCAAGGTCGTCATGATGATTGTGCTAAATAGCTCTTTCTATCAGTTTGCAGGCTGAAATCGTCGGTTAGCTTCCTTACTCGACCAGATCGACCAAATCTAGCTTATCATAAGCTAAAAGGCAGGAATCCAGGGATTATTTTCCTTCCAGGCTTTAATTCAAATATGAACGGTCAGAAAGCAATTGCCCTTGAGGATTTCTGCAGCTCTCTGGGTCATGCCTTCATCAGGTACATACAGAGCATTGTTCTCAAGAAAGTGAAGCAATTTAAGTATTATTGGTTGGGAAATGGGGCACTGCTTGTAACAGGAAATAATACCCAAGTTCTGAGATGAATTCTGCTTGTTCTCTTAGTAGTAAATGTATAATTTGTCATATGGTTTGGAACATGGGCTGTGCTGTAAATAAGCTTAAAAGTATCACTCTTCCAGTGATAATTAGCACTGGAAACCTAGGCTTCCTGTCTGTTGAGAGACTGAGATTAATCAGGAAAATGTATTCTGAAACTAATTCAGAGACTGTGGTAAATTTCTGTAGTGTAATCAGTGCTGTGTGTTGTGTTAAGGCTGCAAGCCTAAAAATGGAAAAGGAAAGAAAAGTTTCTAAATTCTGGGTTTAGGACCTGGAATTCTAATTTTTGTGGATTATCACTGTTGGCATTCGTTTTAACTGCAAAATCTGATTATCCAGTGGCTTGTATGATTTTAGAGCATCATTTATAGAGTGAGATTCGCCTTTGATAGACAAGGTGGAATGCAGAGTTTCATAAGTATTCAATATTCGATTTTTTTTTTAAATACAATTAAAGTAGAATTTTGACTTTTCTGCAAAGGAAATTCTATGTATCTGGGGATTACCCTGATAAATTTGACTATGTCTCTCATTGTAACAGAATACTGCATAATCTCATTGCATGTATTGTGTTTAAATCTCATTTAATTTCTTTTTTTAATACTAAAGATAACCAAGGACAAGTAAGCAGTTAAGCAGTGCGATATATTGTCCTCTGTTTGATTTTGATTAAATGATACTGTTTTGTTAGATTCTGTGTAGCTGCAGGGAGTACTACAACTTCCATTTTTGTGGTTAATTTTGCAGATTTGACTACACAGGATGTGGAAATTCAAATGGTAATTTCGAGGAGTGCACAATAGGGAAATGGAGGAAGGATGTTCTGTCTATACTGGATGAACTTACAGATGGACCACAGGTTATATTTTGTTTTTATGTATAGAACATTCTCCTCCCTCAAGGTTATTATATCCTCAAAAACGTGCTGCAAAAGCTCTGGTAAACAGTAGCTTCTGCTTACAGTCTCTTTTCTGTTAGTAACTTCCTCTCAGTTGCTCAAGATGATTAATTTGAAATAAGAGGGATTCGTAGGACGTCTTGCGCACAACCATAGATCACAGAGCGGTGGGAATGGGGGTTGGCAGGACCCTCCGGAGGTCACCTAGGTGGGCTCTGCCTAGGACAGGGCTGTCAGCACAGCAGGTCAGGTCAGCCTGGCCTTTGGCCTGACCACTCTTGGCGAAGTTTCCACCTGACCTCCCTGGGCAGCGTGTTCCTGCCTGCTCTGCCCTCCTCGTGAAAAAGCTTTTCCCTGTTATCTAAATTATAGCATTAGATGCCAACAAGTTAACTAATCAAAATGTCAACATTGAAAGTTAAGATACTGGATGTGGTGAAATAGGTAACCAAATTTTCAGGAGAAGTAGTGTTTGGTTTCCTCTTTAACTTTGGAAGTGAATATAGGAGCTCATTCAGTTACAGTGAGGAACTTAAACTGCTGCAACCTGGAAATACTTTGGTATTTTTTGTTAAAACCTTTCTGTATTACAAATTGCTTTTGTTGGTCCCTGTCACTGCACTGAGCCTTTGTGATGTGCATTTATTTTAAGAAAGAAGCATAAAATATGCATGCAGTACTGAATTGTTTCACCTCTTATTTTGTTTACAGTGTTTCAGTCCCAGTCAGCAATAACCAGCCATGCCAAACAAAAAAAGAATAATAAAATACCAGATCCTGGGGTGCTTACTCAGGCAAAATTTCCACTGGAGATGACAGCAGTTCTGCCTGGGTAAGGACAGCAGGATTGTGCCCAAGGTTTAAATAGTTAAACAAAATGAAAGCCGATTTTTATTTGTGTGTGTGTGTGGAAAAAAAAAATAGATGCTTCCTATAAAATAACATTTTGTTTCCTCTCTTTTAAGATCCTGGTGGGCTCCAGCTTAGGGGGATGGCTGATGCTTCATGCTGCCATGGCACGCCCAGATAAAGTGGCTGCTCTAGTTGGAGTGGCTGTAGCAGCAGATCACCTCGTAACAACTTTTAACAGGCTTCCTATTGAGGTAAATGCTCGTGTTTGAGTTTTGGGCAAGCTAAAATCCATCAAGCATTTAAGGTACTGTGTTGCTCGGACATTGTACGTGGCCTGTATGACATCTGGTAGCTTTTCTGTGTATGTGGTGGAGGTAAACTGAAAACTTCCAATAATTTGAAAATCTGCAAAATACCGTGCTTGTGCTCTGAGGCTAGTGTGAATGCTACCTGGAATGCGTTTAAACTACAGTGAAACACAGAGCGTGAAGTTACAGACTCCTTTTTTTTTTTTTTTTTTTTAGCAATCCTCTTAGATCCCAGTGTTGAAGATCATATAGTCGTATCTTTAAATGGCGTTGAATCTATTCAGCTTATTGGATATAAGGTGAATAGGATGTGCTTTCAGTGGTGGTGAAGTAGCTGTTAAAGGAATTGAGAAGATACTGGATAATATAAACTTGGCAGAGATTGTGTGGAAAGGGAATTCTTCAGGCTCGTGTGTTTGTGAGGAATCTGTAAAACGAGTCATAGAATCATAGAATGCTGAAGGTTGGAAGGGACCTCTAGAGATCATCTAGTCCAACCCCCCTGCACACACAGGGTCACCTAGAGCACGTGGCACAGGACTGCGTCCAAGTGGGTTTTGAAGATCTCCAGAGAAGGAGACTCCACAACCTCTCTGGACAACCTGTTCCAGTGCTCTGTCACCCTCACTGTTAAGAAATTTTTCCTTAAGTTCCTGTGGAACTTTTGATGCTCCAGTTTGTGGCCACTACCTCTAGTTCTGTTGGTGGCTACTAGTGAAAAGAGGCCAGGACCATCCTCCTCACTGCCTCCCTTGAGGTACTTATAGACACTGATTAGATCCCCTCTCAGCCTTCTATTCTCCAGGCTGAACAGGCCCAGCTCCCTCAGCCTCTCCTCATAGGGCAGATGTTCTAGGCCCCTGATCATCCTTGTAGCCCTGCGCTGGACTCTCTCCAGCAGCTCCACATCTGTCTTGTACTGTGGAGCCCAGAGTTGGACACAGTAATCCAGATGTGAACACAATACTCCAGATGTGGAGTCTCCAGGTTGCCTGTTTAATGGTGGTAACATTCAGGAAAATGAGTTGGTTGCAATAATGTGACAAAGAAATATGTCAGTAGATAACTCTAAAATAATTAAAATATTTTCCTCCTTTTTTTGAGGAAGATAATTTTACAATATTTTAATGTCATTACCTAAGGTTTTATTCATATATGAGCTTAAGCTTTAATGATCCATGAGTAGGCTTGACTTAGACATCTGTTTATGACTTAACTTTAATAGCTTGAAACAATGAGTGCCTTGCATCATGTCATGTAAGGAAATATTTCTTATCCCTCATGTTGAATTTTTTGTTTTTTTTTTCAAAATGGGAAAAATTCTGAAGAACGGCAGTGTTACTTTTTAAAAGATACTATGGTCACAAGAGCAAGCATAAGGGGTTGGCTTCAAGTTAAATGAGAAAAAGGTCACCGGTAGTTAGGAGGAACACACAAAAAAAGCTAAATATGTTTTTAGTAGGTGTTACCGTTCTTGTATGTAGCAGTCATGTCAGTATTATGGTGACATAGCTTGATCTATTATGTCATATTTTGTGCTGTATTTAGCAGAAGAAATGGAAGATGAAAAGCAAGTAGAAAATACTGACTTGATCAAAAAAATTAAAATATAAAGATATACAGATTTGTCTTCAGAGTCAGAAAATACATTATTTAAACTATTTAAATGTAACTGTCATGGCAGAACCAGAAAGGGCTCATCCCTGAAGAATTCTTGTTTGCTCAGAGTCATCCTGATTGAGAGTCAGTGAAACCTGCTGTTTATTGTGGCGATATGTCTTTTTCTTTCTGATAAATTGTGGCTGAGAAGCTTAATTTAACTGGGGAATATTACCAAAATATATTGCAGGCAAGAGGTGCAGCCTCGCTTTTGTGACATGTTGTGGGGTTTGCCCTCTCAAATATTGGGGGTAATGTGTCATCCCTGGAGAATTCTTGTTTGCTAAGGGTCGTCTTGATTGAGGGTCAGTGAAACCTGCTGTTTATTGTGGCGATCTGTCTTTTTCTGATAAATTGTGGCTGAGAAGCTTAATTTAACTGGGGAATATTACCAAAATATATTGCAGGCGAGAGGTGCAGCCTCGCTTTTGTGACATATTGTGGGGTTTGCCCTCTCAAGGTAATGTACTTTCTCTGCTAATAGGACTGGGGAAAGCGAAATTTAAAACATCTGAGGAGATTTTAATGCATTTAGAACAGGAGTGAGAGGATGGGGCGCTCTCAAAAATAAACACATCTGTCTTGTGTATTCTTTGTTTTTTTGTAGACACAAAAAGAAATAGAAGATAAAGGCGAATGGAAATTTCCAACAAAGCATAATGAGGAAGGCTACTACACTCTGCCGTACGACTTCATTAGAGAAGCAGAAAACCACTGTGTGTTGAATAGTCCTATTCCTATAACATGCCCCATAAGACTTATTCATGGCATGAAGGACGAGGACGTGCCTTGGAAGATCTCTCTGCAAGTTGCGAGTCGTGTTCTGAGCAGAGATGTGGATGTGATCCTCCGCAAAGGCGGCCGGCATCGCATGAGCGAGAAGGAGGACACCAAGCTGCTCGTGAACACCGTTGACGACCTCATTGACAAGCTGAGCACAGTAACCTAAGCTGTATGGTAGCTGAATGCATGACCTCTGCACGCAACTCTCAGAAACCCTGTACTTAAAAAGGTGATGCCAGGGTTGTGGCTATCGCAGTAGGAACTGGAGCTTTACCTGCTCTTTCTTACCTCTGTCTTGTAAATACAGATATTTTTATTAATGCTGCATTTGCACAGATAGTTCAAAGTGTGAAGAGAGTGCTGCTGTTTGTTCTAAAATCTCTTCTTCACCATTTAGACCTTTTTTTCATGAGCTTCCTACACTGTTTTGTACTGAAACATTTACCTTTCTGATTGGGCCACTGGTTCATTTTGTTACTATTTGGCCTGTATAATACAATTTTCTTTGACACCTTTACTGCATTGTGCTTTGTGCTCTAACATTCTTGTTTTATGTCTGAAACCTTTCTGTGAAAGCCAAAAATACAACGTAAGTGTTTAGCAAAGTTATTGTCATTGAAAAGAGAGTATATAAACATGAAGCGTAATAAACGGGTTTTAAATGAAATGATGATAGTGTCCTGAAATAGTGTTAAAATTGTAAAACGAAAGGCTTGTGAGCCCCGATCGTGTGCTTGGTATGCTGGCTAAGGAACTTTGGATTTGTTTAGAGGATTAGCACTGTGTTTTATGGAGTTGAGTACCCATATGCCTGTTACGTAGTTGCTCATGTGCATGGGAATCCCACTGTTGCTGTCTTAAGAGCCTAAAAGTGCAGTGCCTCGGAGTGTGAATTTAGCTTCCCTATATATTTTTACAAGTAGGATTTCTGTCATCTTCTCCAGCCTACCTTGGCATAGTGTTTAATTAGTGAGACTTATTAAGGGAATAATATATAATCTTAGTGTAAAGCAATTGAAGTTGGATCAGTTCTGTGACCTGTAAGTCTATAGTAATTGCTTAAAAGTGAGGAATGCAAGAGTATATGGATTCTGTGCCTCTCCTCAGCGTGTGGATTGTCAGGAGGATTATCAGTCTTCTGGAGTCACCATGAGAAGCACAACTGCAAATGTGAGCAGCTATTAACTGAGAGGTAATAGATAGTTCTTGAAACATAAATCACTTCAGAATATAATAGTATATGGATTTAATTGCAAAGGGGACTATTCCTTATCCTTTGTCCAAAAGTAAGATGTCATTCACACAATTGGAATAGACATCAAAACTTAAATGAGAGGCTGAAATTAGTCCTGTTTGCCTTAATGTGAAGCCTCAGTCAGAAACATTTGCTAGTTTCTGGCTTTGCTATTTTAAGTGTGAAGTGGCATCGCTATTGATACCCAGAAAACTAAGGGGGACAAGGTATTTCTATAGGATTTGTCTTTTTCAGTGTTAGCATTCTCAGTAGAAATTCCTTGTACCGAACTTTGCTGAGCTAAGTCATTTAATAAAATAAAAAATACAAGAACTGTATTTCACATGTCATCTTTGGAAGTAGGCTTCAGCACTGGAAAAAAATAAGCTCTGATGTGAAAATTTTGCATCCTAGTAGGAGGATAAAGAAGATGGCTGTAGTTCAAAAGGAAGTTACAGTAAGATTAGAGTATATATGTGACCCTTCTGGTTTGAGTGTGCTACTTCCCCAATTCAATTAAGTTAGTTCAGGAGTATCTGTCAGAGGGACTGCCTCATTCTGTGGAATGTTGTTTCCAGTTATGTCTGGTTTCTGAAGGGAGGAGGCACTTTTTGCCAGCATGAATTTGCCATTCATTATGTTCTTGAACTTTGAAGAGTCTTAATTACATGTTTCTAAGGAAAAAAAAGACAGCTTATGAAAAATGTTTACCTGTTTATACTTGAAGGCTGAGTTGTGTTCATCCTTATCTACTGTTAAACGGTTATCATCTTTGTATGCCTTTGTATGACTGCTGCATCTTATACAACCTGAAAAATAGATTTGTGAGAGTTTTAAAGAGGGAACCAAATCAAAATTAAGTTACTTCAAAATTTTTTTGCTGTTTACTTGCCTGTGGCTACTTCTTTCTTGATTCACTTGTCATGTCTCAGATTGCTTTGTCTCTTAAGGGAAGACAGACGAAAAGAAAAAAGCAGATTGCGGTAGTTCCGAATTACTTCATTTTAATTAAGGCACAAGGTTACCAATTGTAGTAGCTGTATTTTCTTTCACCTTTATTAAAGAAGTTATTTCAGTTTCTGAAGAGCTCGGAATTGTTTTTTTGAGCGCGTGTTCTTCCTGCAAGTGCCTGGTTGAGGGTATGGATGCTGTCCTGGTCGGCAGCTCCCAGTAGCCCTTGCAGATGGGAGCTGGGCGCTTCCCGCAGGAGAATCCAAACAAGTAAAGTAGTCAGTTGCTGGTCAGTGGTTTTGTAGTTCTCTTACCTTTCTTCTCGCTGATGGCAGCAAGTGGTACTATTTGCTTCAGGTTCCTCCAGATTCGAAATGTACTGCTTAAATACAAAGGCCTGGATTATTCTTCCTCAACAGTCTATTCCAGATAATACGTTCAGATGCAACAAGCGCTGATGCCCTTTTCTGTGAGTGCCCTTACTATATTCCGCACCCAGGCAGTATTAAACGCCAGGATGGCTTTGAGCTGGACCTGGTGTAGCCTTTTCCTCTAAATTGGCCGCAGTAGTTCCCTGGATATTGCACTGTGGGGCACAGTCTTTCCTTTGCGTTCATGCTGGGATTTACTGCCTTCTGATTGCTGTTGACTTGACCTGTTCAGACGCCTGAGGGAAGGGCCATTCCTGTTTTAATCCATAGGATGTTTTGCCCTGTGTCATCTTTGCTGGTAAGTGCCTAGGAAGTGAATTATTTTTAATGTTAGTCACGTTTAAAAAAATATTTCTCTTTTGTAGAAATTCTTTATTATAGTGTACTCCACACTTTGAAAGGAAGCTTTGCGTGGTGCAGATATTCTGAGTCCTAAATTTCTAATGGATTCTTCTGTTCCTTTTTTTTTTTTTTATCTTATTTTTCTTAATGGCCATCTGATGTGCTGGCCCATACAAAGCGTATTTTATGGAAACATGCATCTCTTCAGTAGTATGCTGGATTTGCACA